GAGCTGTGCTGAATGATGGCGTTGACAATAGCCGCATCTCGGATGAAGTAGAAGTGCGGCTCCACCACCTCTTCGACCTTCTCTCTAGAGCAGGGGTGGCCAAGCTGCCGCTCACGAGCCGCATGCGGCTCTTCGCCTGTTAAAGCGCGGCTCGCGGCTTTCCTCCACTGCCCCCCCCCCCCCCCCCCCCACACACACACACACACACTTCCCCGCCTCCCTCCCGGTCACACGAGCACTTCCCCAAAAGGAGAAATGGAACGCGTTTAAAATCGAGACAGGTAGCCATTTGGTAGTCTTGTGCTACTGCTACCTTACTCGTACAGTTGGACTGCTTTTGACTTGGATAGATAGAAAATAGTTTGAATTTTGTTTTTTGCTGTGGACAAAAGTCCCCCCCCCCCCCCCCCCTCCCTCCCTTTGTTGCCTTTCTTCTTCCATGCGGCTCTTGAAAGTTTCGTGGTTTTGTTTGCGGCTCTTAGGCCGGGTCAACCTGGCCACCCCTGCTCTAGAGGGTAAGCGTTATGCTTTTGATCAAAACGATCTACTTCCCCTATCCACGCATTGTAGTCTTCCACAACAATGGGATACTTCACGGGTAGTTTTTGTCGAGTTGCCGTCATCCTCTCTACATCCACCTGCTCCTCCGTCTGGTTCGTGGTGGTTGGATTTAGGCAAACATTCTTACTGTCCCGCCATTGGTAGGCCGTGACATCATTTTTCTTGTGCCAGATGTAGCCACCTTTGTTCATCTTGTCAACCTTGACCTCATTGGGTAGGTCTGTGCCGTCACGTAGCTGCTAAAGCAAACTTGTATAACTAAAAAAACAAAAAAAAAAAAACAAAAAAACGCTGACTACCAGGGTGTACAATTCCTTCAGACAGACAGCACAATATGCTCCCAGAGAGTTCTGTTTTTTGGACGATCTTAGTTTTCTCCTTGGTACAACTGAAACCTACAAGGTAGCTAGCATTTGAGTCCGCCAGGCACCAGACTTTGAAGTCCCGCTTTATTTTTGGCTTCATTGGCATGTACCGTGTTTGCACGATTCTAGCACGCCCCCGACTGTAACGTGCAGGTAAATTTAGCTCTGAATAGTTTTAAGAATAATTTGATGCCGATTGTATCGCACAGGTAAAATAATGAGTGCTGAACACCACATCCGTGAAAGACACACATGAAACCCACCCACACGCACTAACAAAACAGCCACACTAGTCGCCGTCGGAGTCCGACGTAAGTTTCAAAATCTCGCCCTCGGTTCCGTCAATGGCGTTGAAAAGGTCACACTTTTGAAAGGAACGTACGACCATCGCCCGCAGGAGTGCTTTCCAGGCGTCGTGTACCCATTGCTCCAGGGCCCGTTTGCTCGAAGCTGGTTAACTAACCGCGGTTAACCGCATTTCCCTACGACGGGGAATTTTGGGTCACGTGACCGGCAGAGTAAGGACGGCGGGGAAACATGGCGGTGCCCCGGTGAGTGAGCTCCGCTCGCTTTGGAACTAATACGTCGCAGTAGCTGCAGTAGCGGGCGCGTTAGTCAGCAATGAATGGTGCAGGAGGTTTTCGCGCTGCATTACCTCACTTAAAACGCAAAACATGAGCAATGACCTCGCCGCATTTTTTAGATAGACTTTCGACTCTGACCATTCCTAAGCCTAAATGAACGCGATAGTTGTCGGCATGGCAACGTTTTTGGAAAGTGGATTGCCTTGACTCAATCGGCCGGGTATTGATAGCACACAGAAGCATGGAGCGTTCCCATAGACCTCTTGCTAAATTTCAAAAGCACCGAGGTGCATGCTACGAGTGTAGTTACACGCGCTGCACCTGCTGGCGTCTGCAGTAATAACTGTTCTGAAGCAAAAAGCCTAAAACAAATGTTGCCGTGCACGGGCGTTCGTCAACGATTTATTATGATTATTTACTTCAAATCTTTTATAAGTGGAAGGCCAGCGCGCGCGGATCATAGAATTACACTTCCAGCGTTCTTCTCGATGTTCGGGTAATTTAATAGGTCAATTTTCAGTGGAGCCAAGTTACAGGTTTTTCAATTTATGAGTTCTTACATGCTGGCCAACCATGCTGCCGGTGTACCGCCCGCCTTTCACTGCTCACTTCTTTCTCATCGTTTTTAGGACTCAACTTCGTCGTCCTCTTTCGAAGTCGGAAGGAAATTTCAACGAGGCTTTTCTGCACTTCATACAGCCAAATATTTAGAAAATTTCCAAACAAGGGTTAATTTAGTTTTACCTTGCCAATTATTTGTACCGCGAGCAATAAAAATGGTTTCTTAAGCTCAAATGTATGCCACGCTGCGTCGCGAAAACCAGGCAGCGCGCATTTTTTGGGTCCCCCCATTTCGGGAACCTTTCCACAGAAGCCACTTATATTCGCTACAGCCAGTAGGTGACACCAGCCACCGCCCCATAATAAAACACGGAGCTATCGCTCATCCAGCCCTCTTCAAACTTGGCTAGGTACTTGTAGGTACCTAGTAGGGAAGGTCGGTTAACTTTTAACCGCGGTTAGAGTTAACCGGCTTCGAGCAAACGGGCCCAGGTCGTCGAGCGTTGCTTTCTTCAGACGCCCTGCTGGCGTCAGTGTGTGCTCGTATGCAGTGAGCCACTCGTTGTACGCTGCACGCACATAGTCCTTCGTTGGTTTGTTTAAGCACACGTCCAGTGGCTGCAGTTGAGACGTCATCCCGCCGGGGATGATCACCAATGTGGGGGAGCATTTTGCAAGTTTGTCCTTGACACGCTGGCTGATGTGGCAGCTGAACAAGTCTAGAACCAGCATAGAAAGCACTCTCAAGTCGGCTCCAGCCCTCTTTCGCCGTACGGCGTCAATCCAGTCGATCATAAGGTCGGTGTCCATCCATCTTTTGGGGTGCATCAGAACAATGACATTTTCTGGGAACTTAACATTGGTAGGCAAAGTCTTCCTTTCAGAAATCAAAAAAGGGTTCATCTTGCGCCCATCTGCCATGCATCCTAACGTCGCCGTAATCAGTTTTTTTGTTACCTGCTTGGCTCCTCTTGTTCGACCGTGTAATTCGAAGGCATGTCGAAAAACATGGGTGTTAGGTCTGCGTTTCGGATCTGTCCTATCATGTGGCCCCTATATTGTCGAAGCTTGATCATAAAACATTGGAACATGACAAACTTCGCTTCATAAGGTTTCTGGAGCTTCTGACAAATGCTCGCCTTTCGTTGCAGCGAAAATCCTTTTTGCCGCATGAACTTGGTGATCCAGCTCCTACTCGCTTGGAATCAAGAGCGGCGGATCTTGTAACCTGTAGCAAGTGCGAAAGAATTGGCCTTGATGACGTCCGAAGAGGCGGGTAGTTGCGCCAATCCTGCACGCACGTTTCCGGGATGCCCAGTGATCGTGACGCTGCTTGATTACCTTCCTTTCCAGCAAGGATGAGCACTTTCTGTTTGAATGATACCTCGTAATGAAATCGCTTCTGTTTCTCCATCTTGCAACGATCGCATCAGCAGCAGCTTGGCTCAAGCTTGCGGTGACACGAGACAGCACGGCGCTTGGCCAATACGAAAGTGAACATTGTGGTACGTGATTATGTGACTGAATACGTGATTATCTGTCTGATAAATGGGAAGAAAGAAAGCGCTGCACACTTTGTAACGGGCGGTAGCATGCGTCACCTAGCCGATATTTTTAGACTTACTTTTACTTCAAATTTTTATTGGGCCCAATTGTAGCGCGCATGTCATTTTGAGCCTGAAATTTCTGGAAAGAAAGTGTGCTTTAGAATCGTGCAAACACGGTACTGCTCTAGTGTTGATCTTCCTTTGAAAAGGATCATGCTCTCGTCTACGGCAAGATGGGATGATGGTTGGCACTCGCTTTCAAACTTTTATTTCATCATATGAATCAGTGGACGCATTTTGTAGCAGCGATCATTGTCTTCCGCATCCCCGCTAGTTGTCATGAGTGTTGTCGTTTAGATTCGGACAGTTTGTTATTTTTTGGAATCTCTCGCACGAAATCGCTTGCGAGATCTCCTTCACGTTTTACAGGCTGTCCGAACTCTAATAAAGATGAAGATGGTGCATGGGGTCTCTACTCGTAAGGACGAGCATTCTGACCTATGCTCTCAGTTCTTCGGGCGTGATAGGGGTCCTAGTCTGTTCTTCTCGTTTGACTTGCATACAAGTTGGTCCGGACTGTAATGTGACCGATAACGTCTTCAGAAAAATAAAGTTGGAATGCGTCCAGTGGCATGCTGCCCTCTGAAGGCTTTGTTGTGAAGGCCACACTCCTTCGGCAACTGCACCATCTTCTGCAGCGACTGATTTGTCAGTCGAGATGCGACGCTTCTTGGGGCTGACCGTGAAGTCTTTTCGGGGCTTGCCTTTTCTGATTTTGCGTCCCTGGGGTCACTTGCTTCTCCTCGATGCTCTCTTCGGCGTCAAGGTCGGACGGCGCTTTGTGGTCGGATTCTTCCCATTCATTTTTACGGTCATCAGCGTTATCTGGTAGACTAAGATATAAATCGAGAGCTTCCTCAATTGTCAGTTTCTTTTGTTTTCCTGCACAAGAATGTGGCAAACAAGTGTTAATAAATTAGAACACAAACTCTTATTAAAGAGCGCTGTTACATCTAGTTATGGTTTCACTCAGAAGACTTCAGCTTTGGCGTTCTATACTACTAAAATCTGTGAGTTCATTTATTTTCCGTACCAATAAAAAAAAAAGGAACTAGATAAGGGGTGTTCCAAAGATACCAGGGACGTAAACAGTTAATTGGGGAGTGTGTTCTAACACCGTAAAATAAAGCAGCACAGAACTATTTCTTTGAGTGAAGCTTAGGATTCTTCATTCAAAAACTGCTCCAATTTGGGGGTTTTCGGTTTTCTGCGACACTGACAGAACTGGACCGCAGGTCAATTTTGCAGGGTTTACCGGTGTTCCGATAAACCCGCAAAAATATGGAATCCTAATTATAAAGGACATGACAAACCGGCGAATCTTTGGACCTGCCTCCAAGAATAGCCAATCGCTTAAATGAAAGAGGAGAGTGAGAAAAGGGTAATTACACAGGAGCCACTTGCAAACATGCTTATCGAAGGCAGTTGTTAAATAAAATGTATGTCTTCATGCTACAGTATGTCTTCCATCTCGGCATCAGCAGGCATCCCAGGCTGTCTATTTTCTGCGGGGGTTGCGGTCTCTCCAGGGCAATACATTTCCGCAAGGATCTCTGCATATTGAGAAAAACACCAAGTGACAGAATAAAAGCTATGCAGTTTCGTGCAATATTTCTCGTAGGTAGAAAATTTGAAATAGCTTTCAGCTCATCATGCCCAAGTCCCGTTAGAGTGACAAACAAAAATAAACAACAGCGACAAGCGATACCTTTGGCAGTCATTTAGTTGTCCGGTGCTCTCAAAGTAAGCACGGGTCATCGCAAGCCGGCCAAAGATACCCTCGCGTGCATGGTGCTCGTGTTTGAGGCGCGACGGTGTCGGTTGTTTCCGTTAGTCGCTTTGCCGTGACTCGGGCATTAGAGTCTGTCTGGAAAGCTGCACTCTATATGAACACCTACCTCCTGGCACGGAAGTGGGGGCTCCTTCACTCCAGTTTGTAGACATGGTGTTGTGTGAGGCTCCTTTTGTCTTGGGACAAACCAGGGTTCTGCCACGTCATCGTTACAATGCATACAAAATACGGCACAATCTGCAGTGCCCTTTGTTGTCCAAAACATTCTGTGCCTACCATCTGCACAGATTTGACCATCGGGGAACCCCAGGAACTTGAAAAGAACCCACGTGGGAGGCTGGACATCCTCCTCGCCAGCTTTACTCTTGCCTTTCGCCGCTCTCGTCTCTTAACATAGCGGTTGCGGATGGCCTTCCACATTCTGTGACATTCGATCACCTCCAAGCCTGAAACCGGGAACCTCATCAGGATGGTACGAACAAATAACAATAATTACAATCAAACGTTACGAAGGAATAAACAGCATTGACTTTACGGGTTGGAATCGCAAAGTCGACCTGCTCGTGCATCCTACAAAAGCGCAATGTTCACTACGGAAGTACCTGCGGAAACGTCTCGAGCATCTTCGAAGGATGTTCGTTCGATAAATGTGTGGGCTTCGAACATGTCTGCAGTCAGTTCTTGAGTGACCAATATGACCATCATGGAAGGAAAAGCCTCAGACAGTGTCCCTGAAGACCGTCTCTTGACCAATCGGGATTAGCAGTGTGATCGCAACTTAAGAGTATGTCACTGAAACATCTCGTCATTATGGTAGGTGCACGTGCCACCTCCCTTGCATCCAGTGGTGTAGCCAAGGAGGAGGCTATCACTTTGCCGCCAATGCACCAGCGGCTCCAAAGTTGGTCCTGTGTCGCTGTGTCGCCGTCGTCCATGTGCCAGGGACTGGAGTCGGCAGCTGTAGTGATTCGGAGCTCGAGGGCTCTGCGGGATGTTGCCGCCAATTGCGGCGCCGGACTCCACGTCCGTACAAAAGCGTTCAATTTTTGTACGTTAGCCACGGATGTTCTGATAAAATAAATCGACGTGACCCATCTCTTTTCGCTGGACATGGGGGCTCCTTCCGAGACGTGCAGGAGGTCGTTCCTTTGGCTGCCTCTTAAAGCTTTGAGGGAAGGTTTTGGCAACACTGCAGAATTGGCGAGTTCCTCGATATTGTCGGCAGGCACGGACATAGTAATAATAGTTTTATTTGACACGAATTCAGAGATGTGATTCAAGTACGGCCCCGTCCAAACGAAGTAGGGCTCATGAGTCAGAACCCGGCAGGTGAGTGTCAAAAAAGTGTACTCGGTTGTTAGTGGCCCGACTAACGGGGGAAAGCGAAAAGTTGCGAGGTAATGGGAGAGTTTTACGTATATCATTGTAACTCTTTTACTGCCTTCCACTCATGCGCTAGTAAAATTTAAACAACATTCAAAAGTGCAATTTTTCTTTGACTTCACTTTTGTGAAGTCGCAACTAGTATGAAACTGGAAAAGGATATGGGTGACGACATAAAACTGTAAGTACTCCAAAATATTGTAACTGAATATCGCATAGGATGCTGCAAAAAGTCATCGGTGCAGATTGGCATATTGAAGTTTTTAATACTATAATTTCCAACAGCAAATTAGTGGCCTACGAACAAAATGAGCCTGTTTGTGTTGAGTGTAATACAACTGTCCAAAAAACCTTCAGCAGCGACTAAATAGCGTCATTGGTTACGACTTTAATAATATAAAGACACGTTCAATTACTTCATGGCCACATCCCTCCAAAATGCATACTATGGTTTAGGAGCGTATGAATTAGTTTTCTAAAAATCTGCCAAAACAGGGTTCATAACGGAACTTCCATGTTTATAATTAATACACAATAAAAGTTATTGAACAAAAGGTAAGGGTGCAAACGAGCTGGTGTTGGTTTAACATTTTGACTACCGTAAAATACCGGGCAAGCGCCCAATCAAATTTTGGAGATAATCGCAAAAAAATGGTGGATGAGTGCTTGTCCAGTCATCAATTTTACATATAAATGTGCGCATATTTTCTCAGATCTTGCAAATTCGGTAATGGGCGCTTAATGTGAAATGGGCGGATGCATGGTATTCTACGGTAAAAATCTCGAGACTGGGAAGAGAATGGATGGACAAACACAAGACCTTGTGTTTTTCCATCCCTTCCCAGTCTTGAGTCAAAATGTATAAAAATTATGCTTGCTTCAAAGCACTATTTTTTGCAAAAGAATATAAAAAATACCTGAGCCATTAACGTAATTGTGGCCGAAACAAATAGATATGTGTAAAACACATTTCTATTCACGCACGAGGGTCACACAATGCAACCGCTTTTCTGGATAGTCTGTAGTAAAGAATTACAGGACTGTTTATTAACTAGGTCCCATTTGTAATTTGTGGTGCATGGAGAGATGTCATTATTTCCGTGCTTACTTGACTGCAAAAAAAAAAGGTAGCTTTTTTGTTAAAAAAATTTTACTTGATGTAATTTAGGTTTATTTTATTTAAATAAGATTTATTTCATATAAATTGGATTATATTTAGCGGATTGGGACACAGCGCACAAGAAACGAAGATGGAGTAGAAGGGTGTACACAGGACAAGCGATTACTCTCAACTGAAGATTTTATTGAAAAGAAAAGGAGTTGAGTAATGCGGATTCTTGGGCGAGTTGGTACTGAAACTTGGAGAACATAATAGCGCTTCACGACTGGGACGAAGAGTAGGAATGAGACAACACAATGCACCAACTTCAACTGGTTCGTTAGAAAATCAAGGGTATAAATACTCTGCATCATCGCGCCCTTCAATCAATCCCATGCCACGCCACTGATCTCAAGAACTGTGTCTCTTTGTCGCCCAAATCGATCGACGCCACGCTGACACATCGATCTCCGTAGTTTTTTTATCAGGTCTGCCTCTATAATTTTGCTTACTGTATTATCTCTGTTTTCTAATAACAGTGCACAAATTAAATTCAGGTTTGCACCCACAGTCATGGAAGTGCATCGACAAATGACCGTCACGTTTTCTAGCCTGCTCACTAGACATAAAGAATTTATACTATTCCCTTCCGCACGACAAACTACTGACCTGCGTAGAGGAAAGCATCGATAAACACGGGGTGGTGGCCTTTCAGAACGCAGCAGGAATGACTGTAGATGACTTTCTCGAATTGCTTACATTTGATCTAAACTCGACCTTTGTTGAGTGGAACAGGGGAGTGTATATTCAGAAGCGAGGGGTGTGTATTTGCTAGTGTTTAGCTCCAGTTTTACGTGATATATTTTTAGCCCATCATGACAGAGTTCTCTCGGAATGCCTGAATGACTTTAATGGTAGCAAGGTTTTTAGATTCGTCGACAATTATTTAGTTTTTCTTCACCATGATGTTTCTCACTTTTCCTTGGTGGTGAACAGCCTTTTAACAGTTTTTAGTACCATCCTTGATCCTCTCAAGCTTACGCACGAGGTACTTGTGGACAACGTCATACAGTTTCTAGATATCAGGCTCACACTTTTGGAACAATACGTGTGTTGGAAATACCAACCAAGAGCAGATAAGCCCCTGTTGCCGTTCAATTCATCTCATTTGAAACTTGTTAAGAGAGGAATTGTAAATTTGTGCTTTGTGAACTCCATCAGAAGGTTGTGTCATCATGCAATGCCTTAAAGTCTGAAGGAGCAGTCAGAACGCTTGGTGGCTGCCGGTTTTCCAGGGACGCTCCTGGTGTCGGCTGCAGAAAAAGTTGTAAGAAGCTACGAGTAGTAGCGAGTCCAGACCAAGATGTGGCTCAAAAGAAACAAAGTCTGGCGGTTGTGCCTTACATGCACAAAACCGCACGCAATATCAAAAAGATAGCAAACCACGTAAATGCTCGGGTGGTTCTTTCTGCACCGGAAAAACTTGCCAAGTTGTGCAAAATGACGGACCCTCACCGCAAACCACCGGTTGGCTGCGTGAAGAAGCATCGCAGCTTGTTTGTAGAATGCGCAGCGAGAGTCGTCCATCAGATCTCGCTGACGTGCGGTAAAAAGTATGTGGGACAGACGGGAAGATGTCTAAATGACAGATTGCGCGAACACAACCAAAAAGCGAGCGGACAGCTTGACGATCATTTGTCAATGCACTGCCTTGACTGTGGGTGCAAACCTGAATTTAATTTGTGCACTGTTATTAGAAAACATAAAGATAAGGCGGTAAGGAAAAGTTTTACACATGCACACGCCCTAAATTTTTACACATGCAGAAATCAAGAGGGGGGTCAGGACATCCGGACCTCCCCTCTGAATTCGTTCCTGGCTGAAACTACCGTTTGCAATTCGACATTGGAAGCAATTGCCAAACTTGTGGTTCCTTAGCAAATCTCAAATTGTTTTGCAGCCATACAAATCCCAATATTGACCAGTAGATGGGCGATATGGGACAGGCACGTCAGAAGCCACCTCTCTTCTCATTTGTGTGTTGGCAAGAAGTTGTCACTGAAATATTGCCTGACCGTAGACTGCAAAACGGATTTAATTTTGTTTCGTTAGTTGATAATGAACGATAATAGTCAACAGCCGAGAATGATCTCGCTCTCACCCATGACCAAAATAGGAGCCCTGAAGGTAATTTTGGCCACCAACTGGTTGACGTCAACTTAGCCAGCTTGTCTGCACTCCGAATAAAGACCGGTAGCTACGAAAATGAAATAAAAAGTGAGTTTCAGACGCTATTCTTTTTTGTCGCCGATGGCTGGAGCACATGAGGTAAATCTTGACGCGAAAGAAATCAAGTGACCTCGAGAACACTTCCTCCGCACATAGAATAACGTGGGGCAAACATCTGTCAACATGGCATCTAGCTTAGTGTGTGGGAGGAATCAAGATGCTTCCTTTCGTAACAACAGTCAGGCATTCTTTCACAATGTCCTTGACCTTCATTTTACTTTACCACAAGACTCTGTAGGAGAAAGCAGGTGATCCCAAATCGGTTCTAGATTTTCTTACCGTGTAAGCAAACTTGCCTCTGGGCTCAAGCCTCATTTTTCAACGTCTGCTGCCGCTGCAGAAGTGGACGCCACTCCCCCCGCAACAGGGAGCACTTTGGTGCTGATGGAAGAGAGTAAAAATGTTTTAAACTCAGACCCGATATCAACTGTGCTTGTTCTTAGCAGTAAGTGATGTAGCATATTACCGTCGGTGCTGAATCTGGCCCTTAAGGAAGGCCAGTTACTTGAAGAGGTGCCATGTTGGCACGGCAAGACCATCGCGGCCAGCACCGCTCCGGCCTCTTTGTTTCTTCGATTCTCTCGCATACTTGGCCCTCATGGCCAGCCAAGCCTGACAGCAGGCGTTAGAGTCGCTGCCTGAAGTGAATGAAGTAAATGTGGCATAAATAACTAAAGTATCGCTTATGAATACAAGTTTTAGAACAGAAATCATGATGGAACTAGATTTATAACACAACTTCAATTAGGACAGCCAATAGGTGCAACAGACATGCACCAGGTTTGCTTGCCAGTATTCAACCCAAACTTTACAAACCTCCTTCAGCATCTTGAAATGTAGTCTTTTTATGTTCTGCCTGTTTGATCTCTTCATTACTGATCGCTCGATTAATAATGGCTTCCCATTTCGTGCCATGACTTTGGGAAATGGTTATGCGAGGTACGCAAACGAGAGGTGCGAGCAGTGGGTTGTGGGTGGGTGTGCGCTGCCCACTCGGACGTGAATGGTCACAGACAGCTGCAGGGAGGCCGCATCTGTGGCTCCGAGGCAAACCGCCGGCCCAAAGAATCGAATCCCCAGTTGGTGGGTTGGAATCCTAGCTGGAGAGAAGGTGCCAGGTAACCGAGATTTCAGTTTCACGTTCAAAGAATCCCAGGTGATGTAAATTAATCGCTGAGGTATGCGACGGCCTTCCTTGATTTGGCATGCAGAACTTCGCAAACGTTTCTTTGCGAATGGCAGGGAAGTCTATTGGCACTATCGCCTCCGGCGTGACCCAAAACAAATCTTTGATAACACTTTGGCGTCTTGCGAGCTTCGAGTGTACGCCCAGGCGCGTGCAGCTGACCGTGAACGGGAACGTTCATGCATAGTGAAAGTTAGACAGAAGGCAACAAGCGTGCGATGAAGGCAGGCCGTCCAGAGGTGCCCTGGGTTGCGGCGCAAATTATATAGTTCTGTTAAGAGGTCATACTCACAGAAAGCGATTCCAATTGCCTTCCAGGAATTTTTGCGCTTCCCAGTGTCCCTGTAGTCCATACGGCTTGCGTTCCATAGCCATGGACACCGCTCAATTTCGATGATGAGTGCTTCTGAGCAAGGAGCCACTGGAGGAGCTGCCATGTTGTCAACGGAGAACAGACTCATGACTGGCATACAACGCCTTGATTCGTGATTGGTCTGTTCCCATACTGTGATATTTAGTCAGACCTGTGTATACAAAAAGTACAAGGGACAAAAACGGATCCATTATGCTTTGTACCATGCACATCTAGCATGCAAATTACGAATTCAGAACCAATGAATACTTTCGTGAAACTTTCATTTGCATTTCATTTTTTTATGTTATTGTACTGCGCAATTATTCTTTTGTTTCTGAAGAAAGCCTGTGTTATGGGGACTAGCCGAGAAACCAAAGTAAAAAAAAAGTCATAAATTTATATTTTGATAACTGACGCTGGCTTTAGTGTTTTAAAGGAAACCTGGTAAGCGGGAGGTAGATGCACAACAAAAATAACCTGAAAAGTTTGAAGTTGCTTGTATAAAGTGAAGCAGAGTAATAGCGAAACAATTCGATTCATTGGGTGGCATTGAGCCATGGCGTTGATGCAAAATGCGCTGCAAAAATCAACACCTGCATATACCCACATTTTCATCGAACGTGTATTGTATAGGGAGACGCATTCTTGTGAAATCTCTCGGTGTAGTTGACTCGTTCCTGTAAAAATTTAGAACATCTTCACCGAGGGCAATGACGAAAAGGTTAGCAGATAATTTTCGGTCGTGTTTGGTGCTCCGGACGAGAGATGGTGCCACCTTTCTGTTTGGAATGTCAAGAAGGAAAGAGGGGAGGGGAGAGCCCTCCCTCCCTCTTTCCTTGACGGTCGCCCGACCTCCCATCCCGGTAATCATCTTCCGATGATGGCCTGCAGTGCTTTGTCATTCTTGTTTATTTTCGCAGTTATGGTTGCTGCAAATATATCCCATGGTTGAACGTTAGGAAAGTACAATACTTCTGGCTAGTGAAAATCAATTACAACAAACTCCCATGAAACTGAACACACTTAAACTGAATTCATGGATACGTGGAACAAAGTTGGAATGTTTGGTTGGTTTCCTGTAGATTCTATGCAGAAAAAGCTTGCTTAACACAAACCACTTCGCATGCCCATTTGTTGGTTCAAACGTTTGCAGCATAGTGCACATTCTGTGCAACTTCCCTTAGTGGGGAAGCTGCTGAGGCTGCCGCACAATGTCTCCTACCCTGGGACGACGGAACGGGAGTTTGTAGGAGAGAGAATATTGGTGTTGACAGCAGTGGCAGAGGATTACCCACATTTCCTGCCATATTGCCGCCACGCTCATAGCCGAAGACAAACGTAGTCAAAGCTCTCGAGATAGACAGTCGTGTCAGTCGTGTTGTATAATCTTACTCTATAGCAGTGGCTCTCAACGAGGTGTGTGTTGTGGACCACAAATGCTGTAGCAACGTTCACAATTTTTGCCTTGCCATCTGACGATGGTTACATCGCCCTTTCTCTCGCCTTTTGCATCGAGGCTCTATCGTCCTTCTCGCCTTATTTCGTTTTCACTTTTCAGTACACATCCCTGCAGCCTGTATGCGCGGATAGCACTGACGGCCCAGATACTGACGGCATTGAGTTCTCGGAGTAGTGGAAGTAATGTATAGTAGTTGTCAAAGAAACACTTAAAGTTCCTGAACTTTGGCAAGTGTTTCATGAGCCTCATCACAATGGAGCCACCAATTTTGAGGTGCTTGTGCTCGAGCGATTTCCCCATTTCTTTTCCCTGATACAGCTTGAAGTCACTTTGCCATAGTATGTGAGCTGCAGCGGACAAACACTGACACCTCCAGGGTTAGGTTTGTTTTTGCAGAAATCGCTTGGCCGCAACTCTACTTATGAAAGGGATCATCTGCTCATCAATGCTGTTGTTCTCGAATGTAGTAAGTTCCAGATACCTCTGTCTGACAGCATCCAGCACGGGGTGCACCTTCCAAAACTTATCAGTTAGAGCCCGGGGCGAAGATGTCTCCGTGCCGTGCAAAGCTGACCGGAGCTTGAAAAATCTGTTGACCCCCATCGCCTCCGATACGCTGGGGATCTGCGTTGCCGGCTGCCAGTACATACGTATGCGGGGAAACTTGGGCGTCCCCATGATCATCATCATCCCGAAGAATGCTTTAACATCCTCCGGAGTGTTTCCGAGATTTGTTTCCCGAGGTGTGCAGTCCGTAAATGTTCATGCACCCCGCAAACTATACGAATGGTGAGTTAAGAAAATACCTTCGAAAGTATTCCCATGGCTCAGCCACCTCCTCTAAAGTCATGTGGTTGTCATCCAATGTTGTGTCAGGGGGCTCGAAATCGCTGCTTGTCCAAACAGTCTGCACCTTTTGATTACGCGCTTCCTCCGCTTCATCATTTTCCTCTGGAGCAGGAGCCGGCTGTTGCAGCCCTGAAGGCCTGCCTCGTGTTCCAGGGGGTTGACCTAAGTGACAAAAGGCATTCTCTTTAACTTAGCTAAGCAGTTAACAATGTCATCCAAATATTTAAAGCGCCTGTACTCGCAGATCGATGAGGCTCTCTGTCCTCCTTAACAGAGAGGCCGACATCGGATGCATTTCCATCGGAAATTTGCATTAGCAACCTCTGTGCTGTGGCACTGCCGACCCTCGTGCGATTTCTCGCATGATTTCGGATGTCTGAATTGGGAAGAAGCAACACATTGTCACTAGAATATATGAATTTCCAATGAAAAGCTCCTTGCAAGAATGCTAACGGCACTATAGCACTAATGTTTTCTTCGAAGAACATTTTTGCACAATGTGGCCATAGCGGCACGCTGTACGTGGGGGGATCGGTGGCCGAGTGGGCTAAAGCGCATACCCAGCTCGACGCGCGTGGAGCGAAAGATCGCGCTGCAGAACCCAGGGATCCTGGGTTCGAGCCCCACCCCTGCCCGTTTCGATCTGGATGAGCATCGTACCGGCGTGCGGTCGTGTATCACTACTGCGTGGCGCACGTTAAAGACCCCAGGTTAGCAGTCGTACTGCACTGGCGAAATTGCTCATCTACAGTGTAAACCAGTGTCGCCTGATCCTGGCAGACCGACCTTACACTGTATAAATCACTAAACGTCCAATTTTTGACACATGTGTTTGCGAAATTCACTAATCCGTTAGAGAAGCAATTACTGCATCCTAACATTTCAAGCTACTGTGTTACATTCATTAGCATCTTTGGAATGCTTAGGCATGCAGCAAGTCTCGTCAGAAAACATCCAATTAAGCAAAGATTTGTTTTTCGGAGCCACTCGCCACTCGCGTCGCTGTAGAACAAGGAGGCATCCATCTTGCAACGGTGTTATTAATTGTAGTTAAAGGCAGCCACGGCAGATGGCGCCACCAACCCGCTCCATAAGCTGTACACGATCGTGTACAACCTGTCTCCAGCGGTACAGGCCCACATCTAAAGAGTAAATAAATTTGCAAAGTCGAATACACAAATGTGTATGCCATGTCTAGAGCCCTGCTCGGATAACAGTTTGATTATGCGCATCCGATCTGCATCTGCAGACTTTGGATCCGCATCCGAACCGCATCCTCAAACTTTTTACATTATTGTATCCAACCCGCATCCGCATACTTTGTACCCGTATCCGAACCACATCCACAAAATGTGGAACCACATCCGACTCACAATCCAAGTATTCATTGTATAACAAAACACCAAGCGTGAATGAAAAAAAAAAATACAAATAGCACTTTTTAAGCTGTTTGCTTATCTTTGTACAAAGAAATTTTTGTGTGACCATTCAAAGGGGATGTCATTTTATCATTATCAGTTTCATTGTAATTATATTAAAAGCGATCAGCCTTCCCGAGACACTGTGCGTCGAAAAAAAAAATTATCTGAGTTATGTGATTGTCAAACAGGATAGTTGGGCGAATTGGTATGTATTCATAATGGAACAGCGCGAATTTTACAGGGATAGAGGAAGGAACTGGACAGGACGAGCGCTGACTAACAACTAAAAGGTTTATTATCAGGAAATCACGAAGGAAACGTACAACAACACGACTCTCCAATCACGATGGAAATGCGCATGCGCCTCACAAGATTGGGTGCTATCTGTTACACAATTCTATGTGCGTCATCCCCGATCTAAACATTCGACCTCACTGTCGAGCAAATTCAAGGAAGCCTGACTCACGCAGGCTGGCCCCTCCTCCTTTATTCTATGAGCTTCGACAATCAAGCTTTTTGGTCCCTGTGTTTATACAAAACAATGGCCTTGTCAAGTAACGGTGTACAGGCGCAGTCCCTGCAGTGTAACGCCAAGTGGGAGCTTCCTGTTTCTGTTAAAGAACTCCGGTGCACCCGCAGGCAAATGTTGAGGCACTGCCCCGTCTGTCCGATAAATACCTTCCCGCACGTGTTTTGGAATCGGTCGTTAGTCAGCGCTCGTCCTGTCGTTCCGTCAAACAATTAAAAAGTAAGAGAGGTTCATAGTCGTCCGGCTACGGCGCAGTTGGACGAATATTAACTACCAGACTTTTTGGCTAGGACTCTAAGCATACAAAAAAGAAACACACAGGCAGTTCATGGGCTTCCTATGTGCGTGCGCTGTTGATTCCGAAAGTTTACAAACCGTGGCACCACAGGGTCGCGCTCGCCGTCGGGGCACTTGTTTTGTTTTTGGAATCATGACCACACTACTCTTTGCGGAGAGGGGGAGGTCTCTTCTACTTTCTTTTGACTTTTACGTTTGAGGTTTTCTTTTCCCAAAGAAAGTTTTCCGCTCTTTCCCTGCCAGTGTGCTAGCTTTCTGGAGACGATTGCCACCATGTATTCTTTACTTTTTCTATAAATAGCATTTTTGACGAGATGGAACACTAACTGAAGGGATCTTCAGTCAGAATCACATCTTCCTTAGGATTCCTATCGTTTCTTCGAAACGCGTTTTGTGGAAACACGTTTCGTGGACAACTTTTCATGGACATACATTTTATGGACACGCTGTACGTTTTGTGGGCCCATGTCCCTGTGATGTTTTGTCTACAACGCACTTCTTCACTAAGCCGCTAAAAGCTAGCGCGTGATTCATTAAGGCGTGCTTAACTAAACCGTGCCCCCCTCCCTCTTGGCAAGACGCAAAAAGTTTGTTACGAAAATAGCACGGCTGTGTGCGATGAAACGTCTCATGTTTTACGATGAAACAAACACGGGAAGCCTTCCAGTCAAACGTCGCATGTCGACGAAATGGTCTGTTGATGAAACGTCAGCCGACGAACTGAA